AACATTACATCTAAGATTAGTATCGTTCTGAACACTTAACGCCTGAAAATGGTTGAATCAAATTTTTAACTTTTCCGCCATTTTATTCTTTAGCTCGACTCTAATCTAATCTCCAATTAAAACTATTAGCATCAGCCTGAAATGATCTTAATCACAGATTATATTTGAACTGAGACTAATATTACCTTAAGGCAATAGTAATTTTTATTAATTATTCGTCCAAGATCAACTAAAAATCCGCACTCTAATTATAATATCTACATTTAACATCATTCAAATAAATTGGATAGGAACTCGTAAATACTCCTCGATTTGAATTAACTTACTAAATACCACGTAAATTCAAACGTAAAAACAACTCGGCTATGCCTCTCCGTTCGGGCGTATTAATTAAAGTTTTTATCCCGAAACTTACATTTGGTTTAAATGGGCGTAAATCTACCGAACGAACGAGACAGGTCGCACGCAAATGGTGTTCGATTGCGGCCCAACCTAAATTTCGGTTTAATTACGGTATAAAGTTTCGTACTGTGACTATTTATTAATAAACTTTGCCGGGCTGTTGGTTGTTCATTTTACTTGCCAACGGCAAATAGAGTTTTCCATCCCGAAAACCTCTCTAATCACAAAACGTCATAATTAAAGGAAAAGCACCTATTATCTAAATTAAACCGCTAGACAAATTTGATAAACCTTTTTATACGGCCATGGTTCATATTTTTTACAAGAACAAATAAGAACATGCTTATACTATAATTTTCGTGGTGTGTTCAGAAAATATCGGGAATTTTCGTTTTTTAAAACAAATATTTATTTATTCTTCTACATTAATGTTGTCGCCTTAAAAATGGTCCCCATTGGATATTATGCACATGTGCCAGCTCTTCTTTCAATACTCGAAACACTTCTAAAACTCCATCTTTGGGATAGCCTTTAGTTCTTTCAGCGATGCGCTTTTAATGTCATCTATGCTTGCAAAACGACGGCCCTTTAAGGTTCTCTTTATTTTTGGGAATAGGAAAAAGTCAGACAGAGGCATGTCTGGCGAATATGGAGGCTGGGGCATCATTACAGTATTGTTTTTGGCCAAAAATTTTGTTCAAAATTTAACAATTTTAGAACAAATTTTGCTGCCACGCGTGTCATGCCCAAAACATTCGAAAAAATTTCATGGGATGAGCCAATCGATATACCAACATCATCAGCGACTTCTCTGATGGTTTATACCCATTTCTTCCACTTTTTCTGGTTGTTAAAGTGCTTGTGCGTTCGTCATCTTCAACGTCTTCACGGCCATCTTGGAAATTCTTATACGACTTGTAAACTCTTGTTTTACTTATAGCAGACTCACTATAGGCCTTTGTTAACATTTCACAGAATTTATTTCATTTTTTAAGCAAAATTGGATACAAATTCTTTCATCCATTTCTTTTAACGAACGAAAAATCGCCGAGCTCATAAAACACGTCTAACCTTAGCGGTTGCCACAGACAAAGTAAACTATGAAAACAGCTAAAGTTTTTATCATACTTCGGGGGCATGTATACCAACATAATAAAGAACATTTTATGACAACCGGACCCTCCGAACCCGCGAAATTTAACAATTCCCGTTATTTTCTGAACACACCTCGTATAACTGGATTAAAAACAAACACTGTTTTTGAGTTTCACGAATTTATTTAAATTTGATTTGACAATTGTTTCGCTAACCCTGCAGTAGCTTGTACAAAATAAAATTAACAAACTACAAACACATGTTAACAAATCTGATTTTTATATAGTGCATTAGTCATTTCGTATGAATTTTTGATTACATATTTAAATACAACTTTTCACTAAAAAGCAATACCTTTATCAAAAGATCGATTTTCAATGGAACAATATCACCTACAAAAATTACTCAGTTGTCAAAATTGTTTTGTTGGTTGTTTCATTCGTCTATTTAATACCTTTCGATAAAGGTATTGGGAAAAATAGCTTGCAATATACTATTTTACACTTCCTTGTATGTCTAAGATGAGAAATAAGATATATTCAGGAGCTTCAAACTTCCTGGAGTCCATAAAAAAGTCGCACGATGACTGAGAACGCATCTCCCCTCCTATAATAAGAAGTTATTAAGTAATTATATTACAATATTTTATATTATAGTAAAATATTTTTAGTAGTAAACAGAACAGTTTGTTAAAACAGTGAGTTAATTTATGAACTAATCAGTATTAGTGTCGTTGGAGCAGAATAGGTAAACTGTGATGTTGTTAATTTGGACATCACCAATGAATTTTCACGTATAAAATGACTGAAATTGCCAATGTAAAATCAGTCGACTGCAAGTTCTTTAGTGTAATCATTACACTGTAATGTTTCATTATAAACTTACTGATGGTATTTCAAGTAACTGATGTGCATGTTTTTGATCCTTTGACAAGTTAAAACAATTTACAACACAGCACAAACATCTTGTACTGATTTTCTCAAACAATAATTTGACGTTTAAATAAAATCTGAAGTGCTTGTCAATCAACCTTCTTTATCTATGTAGTCAATCTTCCAACCAATGCGTGCACGTGCAGTCAGTCACGTGAGTCGACGGTCTATGCGCAAGTGATTAATAATCATTTGTGCGCATTGTACTCTTCCCCTTCTTTATCCCTTTGCCAAGCGACGCGTTTCCTATCTATTCTCATAGGAAGGGATCAAAAGCAAAAGGGTGGGTACAAGTGTAAAAAGAAGTGGAGTTTTTGCTATATACAAAAATCTGGATACTTGTTTCAATGTTTGCATTAATCAACAACTCTTACAATTTTTACCCAATTCTGCACTTAACTTATTTCATACTAAAATGCACTTGTACCCTTTTGCTCCTTCAACTGCTCCTGAGTATAATCTTCCTAATGGCCACGAATTGGTTGCAATGTTTGAAGTCTTACTGTCACGAGCATCATACTTCGACTTTAAGCCCGCCAACGGGAATCTAAACAGTAAAGGTGGGAGAGAGTAAGCCACCACTGTTATAGACAGTGTTTGCTGAGTCTCTCCCACCTTTACCGTTCAGGTGCCCGTTCTCGTTACCGGGCTGTTGTGCAGCGGGCTTAATCCAGAGTTCGAACGCTTTAAGTTTGATACCGCACAGTGGTAGAATGTAAATCTAATTTTTTTTTCATGGAAAAGGAATTGACATGATATGTTCAATATTTTCTTAAGTATATAATATTAAAATGATATTATATCATCAATACTTTCTTAAGGACCTAATATTTTGAATGAATTTTGAGCGATTTCTAGTACATAACAAGAAGTTTCGTTATTTAAGTGTAGTAGGGTCATTTTCAAGAAAATGAAGATCAAATTTTTTTTTTTGTTTAAATTGACTTTTGGTTGGATTTTTAAATGTTTTGAGTTTTGTTTACTTACATTTAAGACAGGCAGTGCACTTTTTAATTTTGTTTACGTTTTTTTCAGAAATTTAATTCAATAAAAAAAGTTGTTATAAAAATTACTTCACAAACTTTTGACTCCAATTTTTTATTTTATTTTTTATTAAAAATTGTATGCTTTTTTTAAATATGTATGTTCGTTAAGTTACTTTTTAAAAGAAACCATTCCGATTCTTTGTTAAAAAAACAATGCCATTAATCACTAAATAAGTGAGTTAAACTCTAATTTATAAACACGTATTACCAAGTGATAGTGTATAAAAATCATTTTAGGTATTTTTTTTTACAAAAAAAAGTAACGGAATAGACATTGATATCACAACGGACTGGGGAAATAAAGGACTTAATCAGATAACGTAAACAAGAAACTATAAAGGGTGGTACGATTTTAGAGTAATGCATAAACAAAATCCCTTATAGTGGTGCTCACTTGCAGAATAACAACTTGGATTTCTAAATTGTAGACATCCTTTTTCTTTGACTATAAGCTGGTGAAGGTCCCTTTTAGTACTTGTAAATTGCGTGGAATTTTCCCTTGGATAATTTTAAATTGGTTTATCATAAACTACTTTTAATAAAAGCAACGGTAAATATCCACTGTGTTGTACCATAAGGTAACATAATGGACTCGGTAACGCAGTGGACAAAGTTTTGTGAAACCATATTTAAAAAATAATAAGACATTACAGTCATTAATTACTCTCAATGAGCTTTAGTGCCCTAAAATAAACTTAAAACTTGAAAAATAGTATTTTTTCTTACCTTTTTGAGTAACTTGGCGGACAAACAATTATTACATCAGCGTTACCCGCACCTGTTTCAACCGATATCTTTTTCCTGAGTGAATAAATAAATTCAGCTGGGTAATGTGTACGTCCGAACATCATTTTTTGATCACGTGAGTGCCAAAAAAGTTGCCATATATATGTTTTTTTAATATTCTATCGGTAACGCGACGGACGTAACGCAACGGAAAAAATGTCTGGGACCTGAGTCAAATTTAAAAAAAGTATTTTAAAATTAATTATTTTATATATAAATTGTTTACTGTATTAACTAGGGATGTTATGGATTGCTTTAAAGCAACACAAAGTTCTGGTTATACAATATTAAAAAAAAACATGTATGTAGGTTTTATAAAACGCTAATGGGACATGCGAAAATGTGTGTTTCACAAGTATCAAAATTTAAAAAAAAATATTCTTAAATAACTAAACATATATTTTCTGAAAGAGTTTACTAAGGGTTTGTTAGGCTTTCACTTGGTTGTTAAATCAATAACATCCGATAATTTTTAAAAAAGTCATTGGAATTCAAACTTACGGACAGCGGAAGGCGGGTGTTTTTTTGAAAACGACCCAGTACCTTTATGAAGGATGAAAGACAATTTTAATATATTTAATTAAATTGGAGATTAAGGGTAGTTTGAAAAAAGAAAAATGCAATGTTTGTAACTAGGTTGCAGAGTGTTAAATAATTTTTGTATAGTTAAATTATCTGAGATCACCCAACCTAAAACCAGGTGCTCAACACTTTCTAAAATACACTCTCTTTGTTTCAGGTGCAAAGCCCCGAACAGATTTCTAGAAGACCTACCAGCTACTTCGGTAATTATATGTTTTCACAACGAAGCCTGGTCTGTTCTCCTAAGAACGGTTCATTCAGTTCTGGACAGATCTCCTAGGCGTTTAATCGAAGAAGTCATCTTGGTTGACGATTTTTCCGACATGGACCATCTTAAAGATCAACTAGTGGAATATTTTGCTTCCGAACCCAAAGTTAAGATTGTCAGAGCCAAAAAACGAGAGGGACTTATCAGAGCTAGGCTACTAGGTAAGAAGGATAATGATCTTCAATACTTAACGGAGCAAATGTTGTATTCTACATACGTACGTTAAAAGTCCCCATGTTATCTTTTTACGTTGTGACGTTAAATTGATAGGTGCACATTTAAAGAGTGCCAGAAGGCAGTATCAACTATCAATATGACGCAAATAGCAGTAAACTTAATATCCTTGACAATGGTTTTTGTCTGATGTCGATACCTTTTTTCGTTCAAAAGATAACAGGGGGGGGACTATTAACGTGCGCACAGTTAGAAACAAGTAAATAAAATCAAAAATGTAATAAATTTTATAAAAGTTCAGTAAATTATGAATTATTTAAAATAAATTATTGCCATTTATCCACCTTTTGTGCTAGTTTTGAACTCAATAAGCCAAATGTTTTAAAATTTTAGTTGGAGATACTTTAAATTTTATTATTTTGTTAATCGAATTTATATTTAGTTTAGGGTAAAGTGGACAGTTATCAGACACTTTATAGTTATTGGACAATTAGCATTAATACTGTAAAAACGCTGTAAACAATTATAAATATATCAGTCGGTAATAATATAGAACTATGTACTTTATTTTGGATCCAATATAGGACAAAAAAGTTCGCACGTTACTTTGGTGGTAAGATTTTTGTTTTTTTGTTAAGAGCAGGGCTGTATTTAAATTACAATAAAAAATATTTTTAAAAAGTGTACAGATCAGTGTAGGGTATAAATGTGTTCCTCATGATTTAAGGATTGTCGCTTTAATGCGTTTTAATTTTAATTCTGAAAACAAACAGTAAAATGGCCAGTATCCAATTACTGGTTGGAAAAAATGTAAATTTCTAATATTGGACATATTCTTATGTAAAATTGTTCCCTGAATCCGAAAATACCGTCAAAAATTTATTTATAGAGCTGCTTCTGAGATATAGTCAATTCCATATTATATGTAAAATTGATTATATTTCAAAAACTACTTTTATAACTTTTGACGACATTTTCGGATTCAGCGAATAATATTTCATAGGAATTGACTGCTAAATGTTCTTGATACAAATTGCTGCTTTTTCGCTATGACATTTTTGACTCATTCATTTTTAGAGAGTAAGTAATATAGTGATTTCTTCGTCACAGGACATGTTGCAGAATAACAGTGATTTAAATAGAGTGCATTATAGAGAACATAAAAAACTAATGGCAACAAAATTAATAAATTCGGAAAATACTTTTAACATACCCGAACAAATATTATATATATATAAATCATCCTGTTCCGGCCTAAACATTATAAATGCTTCACAAACTAGAGATACCAAACTTAATGATATTTGCAACAAACTATTTCAGAAGTCAGACCAAGGAATTAGTAGTTACCTTCAGAATCCAGAAACGGGATAAGGAATCCGAGAATAAATTATATAATATTTACAAAAACGAAATAAAAAAAATTACCTAAAACAGCAATTTATCTTTAAAATATATTTAACAATTTATGTTATTTGATGCAAAGATTTTATGTTTATATAAAAATTGTATGTCCAATAAACAAACTATTCTTTTTATACCGGGTGTATCTGAGAATAGGCGCACCCATGTAACTTTTTTATTTATAAAGATGGACACATGAAATTTTGCATGGTTAATTAGGATATAAAATGCCACTTTTGAGAGTACAAAATGAATTTTTTGAACTTCCGGTTTCGAAGGAAATGATACCAACTTTCGATTTTGGAATGCACTATATATTTTTACATATTTGGAATCCTGAGGAAATTCTGAGTCAGACAGCATCCTCAAATGGACCTTTTGACATTTCGGCATCAGAAAATGTATCATCATAAAGATCAATCTAGAGGGCTTTGAACTTTCTTATTTTCTTCTAATGGATCCACACAATGCCTGAAAAATAGAACTTGCCTTAGAAAGTTGTTATTCAGCTATTCCCAGCAGTCTAAACTTGTCAAAATTCGTTTTTCTCAAATAGTTCAAAGCACTCTAGATTGATCTTTATGATGATGCATTTTCTGATGACGAAACGTCGAAATGTCAATTTGAGGATGCTGTTAGACTCAGAATTTACTCAGGATTATAAATATGTAAAAATATATGGGGCGTTCCATTTAAAAATCGAAAATTGATATCATTTCCGGCGAAACCGGAAGTTCAAAAAATTCATTTTGTACTCTTGTAAGTGGCATTTTATATCATAATTAACCATGCTAAATTTCATGTGTCTATCTTTATAAATAAAAAAGTTACAGGGGTGCGCCTATTCTCAGATACACCCGGTATATTTATAAGAAAAAAACTAAAATCTTTAAAACAACGGTAGGTATATATAAATTTTAACTAAATAATATTCCTTAAGTGTCCAATAACTATGTGGTTCTTAACATTTTTAACTTTTTTGTCATTTGTTTTATTTACAATTCACATATCAATATAATACTTAATTCATAAGAAAATTAATAAGAACAATCAGAATTCACTTTTTTTCCAGTCTCGACAAATTGCATAGGACTTGAATTTCTGGTTTCTTGTAAAGGAGCAGTATCACCAAAAAGTGACTGCTTTTCTAATAAAGAATTTTTTATGTCATACATTTGCTATTGACATTGCTATTGACTCGCATGTAGAATTGTTATACATATTGTCTATTTCATACCTGCATTGCATTTGACATTCCCATATTTTAGGTTATGTACAAATCTTCTATCCCTTGCAGGTGCCGCAAACGCCAAGGGGGCAGTCCTGACCTACCTTGATTCCCATTGCGAGTGCACGACAGGCTGGCTGGAACCCCTTCTAGATCGCATTGCCCGCGACTCCACCACGGTCGTATGCCCGGTCATCGACGTCATCGATGACAAAACTCTGGAGTATCACTTTCACGACAGCGGTGGCGTGAACGTAGGCGGCTTCGACTGGAACCTGCAATTCAATTGGCACGCGGTCCCCGAGCACGAAAAAAAGAAGCACGAGAATCCTGCGGAACCCGTGTGGAGTCCTACGATGGCAGGAGGATTGTTTAGTATAGATAGGGTAAGCGAATATATATAATTTTTAAATTAGAAATTTTAAGGATTTCCTACATATGATTAAATATTTTATGTTATAAAAATCGTTGCAGGAAACTGGATTCTGAGTTTAAAATATGTGCGCCCTGAGTAATGCTCGAGGTCATGCGCTATAAAAAATATTTGTGTGTAAAAAATCGTTATTTTTCCTTAAATATTCCCTAAACATTCCTAGCTTAAGTTGATATTTTTAATACAGTTATATCTAGCTGAAGTTGACATTCTTCATATAGTTATTTCTAGCTTAAGCTGACATTCTTAATACAGTTATATATAGCTGGAGTTGACATTCTTAATATAGTTATTGGTATTGTTATTAGGTCATGCAATTAGGAAATTTACTTAGCTGGACTAATTAGACTTGAAATTCTGTTACCCTGTCCCTAGCGGACAGTCTGTTGTTCCTTGGCCAAACCGGGGGCCACCCGCACTTTTTTAACTTATTATTATTATTTATTTTTTCTTGTTTATTTAATTTTTATTTTTTGATTTCCGTTTTACTGTTTTTGATTCACTTGCATCCGATAAATTGCCGGATTCTCAGATTTGTTATTAGGAACGCTCGCGCTATACGAACACATCCACTCGCCTCAAGTGGAAGAACGAGACTGCAAATTAAAATATTAATTATATCATAGAAAAACATCACACTCAAGTAGCATCCGATAACAAATTAAAGGCATGCATTTATACCGTCAATACTGGAGTTACTATGCAAGCCAAAGGCAGTGCTTGAAAAAAGACGGCCATATTAAACGATAAATAAAAAGAAAAAAGACGAGACGAAGCCATGTGACGGCGACGAGGCGACAAACAATAAGTAAATTCCACTGGATTCACCGTTGCCAAAATGTGCTATGTTTAATTAATATTCTGATAGCCATTGTTTGTTATGCTTTATTAATTGGTTACATCATAACAGGGTTTGGTAAAAATAACTTTATTAGTTATTAATATTTATACCAATACTAAATGTGTAAAACGAAGTCTGTTATTGAATATTTTAATGCATGCATTTTAAACAACTTTAGTTGGCAGCAATTGCAATGTTGTCATGTTTGGATTAAAATTTTGCATAATAAAATGCTGTCAGTTGTGTTTGTGAATATTTCGTTTATAACTTCGTTTATTTTGTTTGTTGTTTGTGTTCTTTATATCGTTCAAGTTTTCATTGCCGCTTTTGTATTGATTATATATCGTTTTTTTTCCTATATTTAAAATGCCGAAGCATTTAAATAGTCGGAGTCAAGAGTTGGTATCATCCTTAATACGCTATTTTGAGGCAAAACGGGATAATAATGTACATTTGTTACCTTTAACAGCTGTTAGAGTGGTAAATAGGATTATTAGTAAATATATATTAGAATATTTAACAAAATTTATATTGGATACATAAAATAAGAATATACAGTGTGTATTAAAACAAATATATACACTTAAATAAAACAAGTGCCAAACCCCTCCCACTGTGGTAGGGATTGAAAAAGTTATTTTCGTTATTTTAGAATTATTTTTGTTTGAGAATTTATAGGTTTTATTTTTATCGAATTTGTTTGTTTTGTTTTAATGCATTTCTGCAAATAAAAACTAAATTGTTTAAAATCCATTAAATTCCAGTTAATGGCGAAAATGTATTTCTTAAAAACTATACACATTTCCCTACGATAGCGTCGGAGCTACTGAACAAAGTATATCAAACTGCATGCCCTTGTATCTGGCTGCATGCCGCGCTGTTGCCATATGCTATTATTGTTTCCTAAAAGGGTTGTTTTTCTTATTTTTTAATATTAAAAGTAAGAAAATTAACTAAATCAAATTATTTTTGACATATTATTAATTTTTTTGTTATTTTTAAAGTTTTAAACAAATAAAATTGAACTATTTATTAAATAATTATAATCGTTCTCTTCTGATTTAAAACAACCTGGCAACTATGGTTCGTAATTACGAATGGCTTGGTTTAAACCAGGCCCAATTTAAGTTTGTTTCTTTTTCTCTGATCAGAATATAATTTGTCATCCTTGTCTCCAGCCTTACTTACTTGATTCTATACAGTCTGTATATACCAGAGACTGACTTAAGATGGCAACATTTCTGGGTTTTATAGCTGAAAATGTCTTTAAAAATGGCGGTGCATCATATATAGGTTATAAAAACTCTGACTTTTGACATTTTGGTATTCTAAGGTCCCAAATCTAGGGACCCTAGTTGCAACAAGATATTTTAATAAAAAAATCTATGGCAATTATAAATGGCTAAATTAACCTTGGAATTGCTGCCACATCCTCCGTATTTTCCAGATTTGGCCCGTCTCGACTTTTTCCTTTTTAAAACTGAAAAAATCGTTGTCTGGAAAATATAAAGTAATACATAGTGTAAACTACTTAGAATCAAGAAACTAATTATAAAAGTATTTTATGACATAAACTTAATGACCAATTTAAAGCAACACAGTTGCTGGAATACGACGCAAAAAACAGGTCGGTTTGGCCGGTTCAGCGTGAAGAAACGCAGCAACTGCAAAAGGACAGCAGAAACATGCGGTAAAGGCGATTAAACGGAAACTGTGGCAATTAGAAAATTGGAAACAATGTCGTACGCGGATGGAAAAGAATGCTGCTGTCAGTGCTCTCGAACGGCGCGGCGAACGCTCCACTTGCATCGACTTTACTTCACGTCTTAGAACGCCAACAAGGGAATGTAAAAGTAGTTTACACACGCAGTTAAGTACCGCGGATGGCCGCCGTAAATCGTTCGATCTGATCCAGTTTGGTTTGTTTAGGAATTCTCAAGAGTACGCGACAGGTGCAACGAATGGTTTTAACCTATTTTGTGTTACAAAACTTGCAAAAACCAATTTTCATTGTATCTATCTGCTATGTTTACTTGTATAAAAACAGAAGCATTTGCCTTATTTTAGCGGTTTCCATAACAACCTCTTTGTATGTGTAATATTTTAGCTTGCCATGTACACAGCGTTTTAACATTAAATGCTTTTGGTAAAAAAAAAATACGTTTGGTTTTTGAAGCTATACTAATTTACGCATGCTTCGGGATGGGAATTTCGCTTAAAAAACTGACCGACCGACAAAAGACAAATTACAGTTAAGCCTGAATTATAGATTGCCTTCCTTCCTTCCTCCCGTAGTCGTGCCCGTACGATTTGTGCGTCAATTTATAGATTTCCGTGTAAAATTCCGTAACCATGCGCGATGACACCTAAAATTAGTGCAGTGATCACAATTTTAATTGCCCAGGCAGCTTGTTGTATTATACTATATTATATTATATTATAATAATGAAAAAAAAACATCGAACAAGACGTTGGAAGACTCGCCCACTTTACCAAGACCGGGAAACTACGGGGTTTTACAAAGCAACGTTTCTAAAAATGAAAGACATTGATCATAAACAATATTTAAATATCCCATTTTAGAGACACAAATTATTTAATAAACTAAACACCTATCTTAAATAATACTAAACAATCATGTATTTTAAATATTTTGTGCCTACTCGCTGTCACCCTACAGCGCATGTCCATAACAAGCACTGTGATTGGTCATGTCAAAGACCTTTACGGTAAAAGATAAAACTTACAAATTTCTACGGGAGGAAGGAATGCCGTCCTTACGGTACTGGAATCTATAAATGGCACTACGATTTAAGTGGGTGACGTTCATAATATCGAAATTCACTTTATCGAATTCAAAATATCGAACACTTTTTATCGAAAATCAAAATATCGAAAATAAAAAATGTCGAAAATCAAAATATCGAAAATTAAAATGTCGAAAATGATAATATCGAAATTTTATTTAATCGAATTTTCAATTTATCGAAAATAAAATATCGACGTTCATAATATCGAAATTCACTTTATCGAATTCAAAATATCGAACACTTTTTATCGAAAATCAAAATATCGAAAATACAAAATGTCGAAAATTAAAATGTCGAAAATGATAATATCGAAATTTTATTTAATCGAATTTTAATGTGAAACTAAACCATATTTTCTTATTTTGAATTTGATATTTTGTTTAAATATTTCAATTAATCGACATATTATTTTAATCCGAAGTGTATATGTATAGAGGCGCCTCTGATATAGAAATGTACTCAAACTCAACAACACAACCCAACAATTGTGAACGTCACCCGATTTAAGTAAACATTAACATTGCCTGTTATTAATTTTAATTAAACTTAACAATTATTGATACTTTAAAATATTAAAATAATTTCAAAATATGATTTTGTTAAGAAAATATTTTATCCTTTGATTTTTTTTATTACTATAGTTTCAAAATATTATCACAAAGTATTAAAAATTCTTACACGGAAAATGTTAATGGTGACAATTACGTCAAAAATGTTTATTGGTCTTCTTATTGTTGACAGTTAATGTCAAAATCGATTCGCCATGCCGTCCTTAATTTACTTATTTACAATAAGCGGCTGTTAATGTTAAAGAAGAAAAAAATGATTTTCTTTGGTGTTAAATAAAATGTATTACCAGAAAAGTCTCGTAAGTACTAGAAAAATCATAAAAATATTATAACCAAAAATATTATGCTATTTAAAGTATAGCCAACCTATAGGTTATATAAAGTCAAAATTTTGGGTGGGATAAAGTATCTTATTACAGCACCGAAAGCGGTGTTATGAAGTCATGAACGGAAAATTTATAATAATCTCCAACAAACAATGCTTAAAAGAATTATACGAACGAAATGTCAAAAAATATTACAAAAAAACGTCAAATACCCATCAATAATATTAAACGGTGCGCGCCAACCTTAAGCTATTAGCAACTGGCACACACAAAAATTACTAAGTAAATTATTCATTATTTTCAAAATTTCGTAAACAATATGCAATTTTTTTAGCGTATATGTGTGAGAAAAATAAAAATTATTCGCTAAAAACGATTTTATTTTATTCAAAATATGATTTTTAAAA